GGCGGTTGTACTGTGTTTCATCCTGCTGTGCTGAAAAAAAAGTACTGCATGCCGTACTTCTTTTCAGTGCACACCACCGCAATGCCAGTGCATTTTGGTGGTGTGAACCAAGCCCATCCTTGACAAGGCAAACTGCTTTGTCTTACGTTGGGGCTGCACTGGAATCAATGGAATCAATGGCCCAACTCATTAGTCAATTGGCACAGAAATTATTGACAAAGTTTGTATTGTTAGCAGAGAGACTGAGGCTGATTTACTAAAGAGGTTGAGGATCTTCAGTCCAAGAATTACCGGTAGGTGATACTACAGGTATCCAATCATGTGAATCATGTGAAGATGTGATACTAATCACATGAATAAAGTGAATATTCATACAATTTTTTTCAGTAAAAATTCTCAACTGCGTTAGTAAATCAGCCTCAAATTCTTTGCATAGTGTATGTTTCAATTATAAGATGTACTAAACAATATATCCAATTATTTTCTAATGACAGTTCCTCATTGTAGGGCCCATTTACACGGTTTTTCATGGCCTACCATTAAAAAATATGTGCTACATCACTTAATTATAAGTGAATCTGCACTTTTTGCACAGTTTTCTCTTAGGTTCCTCAAATACCTGTCGAGTCTGTCAGTGAAGTCATCCTAATATAGCTTCTTGTGATTGTGCTGCAACGATGCTGCACTGCTCCAGAATTCAGAGAGTTGCACCTCTCGTATAGGCTGTGTCTGATTGCACTAGAGTGAGATGTAAAAAATGTCCACCAATGAAACCTGCATGATCTGTGGTCAAGCATGTAAAGTGTACGATATATATATATATAGAGATAGAGATAGAGAGAGAGAGAGAGAGAGAGAGAGAGAGATTCTTTAGCACTTAGCCATGTACTTATAAAGCAGCCATGTTATCACTCATTGTAATGCTACTTGTGCCAAATGAGTCATTATGATAGTGTTTTTAATGTCTGGACTAAGGCCACTGAATTAACTTTTGTACATATTTCAAAAACAGGCATTTCAAAGAGCAGTGCTAGTGCTCACTCTTGCAGTAAATGATTCAGACCTATGCAAATGTACCTTTTCTTTAGAGTGGATAAAACGATATATACTGATTGGTTATGTTTACTGCATTAAAAAAAGGATGAATGATGAGCAATGAGCTATAACAATCAGTTAAATATTGGTACAGTTTATCTGTCCGCTCCAACCTGATTTTGTTCTTACACTACATTTTAAGACGGTTAATACAAGCATCATATGAGAGTAATTAGTGAGTTACAAATGCTATCTAGTAAAAACAGCAACTCTGCTCACACCTAGGCGACAGCGTTTTTGATGCACGTTTTTGTGCGTTTGTTGGCTGTTTTTATGCACGTTTTATGCGCATAAATCTAATTGTACATTTTTGTGAGCAGATTGTAGCTCATTGATGGTAATGAACAAACAGGCGTAAAAACGCACAAAAACACAGCAGATGTGCATTTTCAAGTGTTTTCTATTGAGTCTATGGGGCCATATGCCAAGTCCATGGGAAGTCTATATGCCAAAAAAAGCTCATGTACTTTTTCCAGTGACAGCCATTTTGCCTATTGCGACAAAACGCTCACATGTGAGCCAGGCCATAGAAATGAGAAAGATGTGACCCTGCGCGGCCCCGAAACGTCGGTTTATTTGGATGTCTGTGACGCTTTCTGTCCAATAAAAGGGACATATTTATCTTTACTACTGAGTGCTGGTGATTTCCTGACTTTCCTGTGTTTGCACGGCGCCATCCGTGGTATCTCATCACTGCGAGCACCACTTTTTTAATATCTGGCCGGGACTGCTGTGAGGAGTGCGGAGGGTCTCTCCATCTACTTACATCAATACTGAGGCATTCATTAATGTCTGGTAACTGCTGAGAATCAGCTGTTACCAGCATTACAAAGCCTGATATAACTCGTCACGTACAGTGTACGTGGCCAGTCATATAGGCACAAAGTGCCGGGACGTACACTGTACGTCTCCCATCACGAAGGGGTTAATATCACTTTAACTACTAACACAAATGTATCTTATTTGTACATCACTCGGCTGTAGATCCTCATATCATCTCTGAATTGGTGCTGACACTGTCATTCCTTCTGGAGGGGGGCTACTTTTGTTCCCTATGGTCTCTGTGTGTGTTGTAAAGTAGTCACCGCTCCAATCCCTACAATCTCAATACAAATTAGTAAACTAAACATGAGATTATAGTCCATCACAGGAGTGAGCTTGTAGTGGTGGTTACTTTACAACAAACACAGGAACCATGGGGAGCAAAAGTAGCCTCCAAAAGGATGGACTGTGTCAGCACCAATTCAGAGATGATTTGCGGATCTACAGCCGAGTGATACACAAATAAGATACATTTTTGTTAATAATTAAGGTACCTCAGTGCATTTTTAAGATTAAGTGTCACTTTAAGCTGAACTCCAGTCTTACCTTCAGTTTTGAACAGTTGTACAGGCTCCTTTTTAGTACTGCTGTACTTAGCTTAGTCTGATTTTACTGCATGCTATAAGCCTCTCACATTCTTTGGAATTCATAGTGTCTATGACACACTATAGAATTCCGTTCTATACCTGCATAACAAATGTCAGTGCTTGCCCTAGATTTATGTACCTGTAGAAAGGTACATGGAATGGTGCAAATACCGACATTATCGGTGAGAAGGTGCACTGCGGCTGGAGTGTTTATGCAGTACACTCTGTCCTCAGTTCAGCCCACCACCTCCCACAGCTGCTGAACCTGTCACACAGCGGTGCAGTTGCCGAGGAGTTTTGATAGTAGGTGGAGCCTGAAAGGGAAGCTGGGACACTAGTTTCCAATCAGGTCTGCTGAAAATGCAGTGATTTGATAGCAGACAGAGGGTGATTCCATAGGCATTAAACAGACTGCTATTGGTTATGGAGTCCACTCACTGCCTGCTGTCAATCACTAGCAGAGTGGACTTTATGGGGAACTAGCCCCTCGGCATCACCATCAGGCTCTGCCCAGTGTCAGCATCACTGGTTGTTAAGGATGCTGTCAGCTACATAGACCTAGCAACCAATTAATCATCCCTGGCCCCATTCAGCTGCCAGCCATGGCTATATTTGGGTAATGATGTCAGTCAGCATCCCCAGCCCTTTTGTTTACATTCAGCTGCCATGTGGGGAATCTCCAGGCAACTGCTGAATGGGGCAAGGGATGCGTAATTGGTTGCAAGGAAATAGGTGGCCCAGTGTCCTAGCAACCAATAAATCATGACTATACCACACTCTGAGCACTGGTGTCTGTCTCTATGATGACAAATCAGAGTTGGTCTTAATCTCAGCCAGTTTCCTAATCTGTAAATCTGTAAACTTGTGATAACTCTTGTGATAACTCACAGCCATAGTGACAAGTTTTTAAAGTTGCGGTAATAAAAACTACTTGAATCTGGGTTGTTTTAAAGAGACCATACTGCCAGAAAAGATTCATAAATGCTTCACTAAAGTCCCCCCAATGGGCATGGGCTGCACCAAAGAACACAAAACATTGGACCTGCACTATTTCTGCCAAGGTGCTTGGGGCGTGCATCGCTTTAGTGCCTTGGGGTGCCATTCAGCACTACGCGTATTGTGGTAACGTAGGTTAAAACTTGCATTACTGCAAGGGAACAATGTGCCATGAGTCCCGGTGACAATAGTCGCCAGGACAAACAGAGACAGTGAATCTCCCTAGAGGGGAACAGACAGCAATTAAACCTGGCAGGGGCTCTAACCATGCCAAAACTAAAAGAAACGTTTTTAATTTAGATGCACTTAAAAAAAAAATTCTTGCTAATGTTAATAAGTTATTGCTATTGTCACCAAATCGTTGCTGTTTAGGACCCATAGGCTAGATGTTACTGTACTTATACCTTCCCATAGGCTTCTTTCATTTTATAGTATGTTCTCTAATGCTGACCAAATACATGGCAATTTCTAGCATTTTCAATTACTTTTAGCTTATAATGACAAAAAAGACTTGCATGGATCAAGGAATTCTATCGTCAACAGATTTGTATTGTATATAGGTTTGATAGAAGCTGTTGGTGGTAGATCACCTTTACATGTTTGGTCATTATTTGTGATATAAAGCTGGGTGAATGTGACTGACTTGCCAGAAAATTGCTGTGTGTATAGTCAGCATATGACCATGGTGTTAGCATATGTAACTGTTTGAATGATTACATGCCTGCAGATCAGTACAGTTTGTAATGAAAACAGCAAGGAGCCTGCCACCCAGAAAAAAGTGGCTGTCCTAAGCAGTGAACAAATTCAAGCAAGAAAAAAGGATCCTTGCTACACTCCTTACAGGGTTTGCCATGTATATATACAAGCGGGTGCTCGAAATGACTGCGGATTGTGCCGCCACATGTAGATAGTTGAAGAATGTCACCAGCACACCAAAACAATGTTTACAGATGATGATTATTGATGACCATATCTGAGTCTGATGAAGGGGACCCTTCGTGGCCCGAAAGCGCATGCAAATGAGAGACAGCATTCATCAATAAATGAACACTTAATTGCTGTGATCTTTGTTTTGGTGTGCTGGTGACATTCTTCAACTAAGCAGATCTGGATCACTCCTGATCAGTAGCGTAACAATAGCCATAGTGGCCCGTGCGGCTGCTGTGGGGCCTGGGGGTGTAATGGGGCACCAGTAAGGATCACAGATGTTGCTGCTGACACTACCATTATTTATCAAGGAGAGCTGACATCAGATGTACGGGGGGGGGGGGGAGACTATGCAGGCAGCTCTCCTGCTATCTGACTTTAATATAATTGACAGTAGAGAGGTTGCTGGGGCCCCATCAAAATTTTCCTATGGGGTCTCATGATCTGTGGTTACTCCCCTGCTCGTGATATAAACAACATAACATTTGTCATTAACTATCTTTTATCCACCCTGTTAATAACTTCATAACACAAAGGATTAAATCATAGAAACACAATATAAAAAGGACTGACCTCAGATCATCACATGCTTCTTCATCGGAGGAGAGTGCTGATGCAGGGATACTGCAGACACTGCCGATGGAACGACTGGGCTTTAGTTTACCTTCCTTAAGGAGAAGAGAAGAACTTTTCTTTTTCTTCTTACCAAAGAGTTTCCTTAGCGGCTGAAACTTCCCAGTCCTTTTCTTCTCTATAGTACGGAAGAGAAAAATACACACTGTTATCAAAATAACCTGCACTAAGGTATGGCCACGCAATCTCTCACACTAGAATAGGACAAAGTCAAAGTGCAATTAGTGGAGGTATAAGGAAGCATGTGTTCAAATGGAATATCGTGTTTTACCACTAAAGCAGAAGAAGATTGCTAAACACAGATTTCTAAATCACAATTTGCTGAGCACTGCAGAGCCAGGGATCCAGAACAGCCCTAGTGTATAAAGTAAGCCACCTTAAATTCATGCACTTGAACAAACAAGCAATAATGTTAATAAATAGGGAAAACATTGACTGGAGAATAGGTGCAGTGGCTTTTGCTTTTTTTCTTTTTTTTTTTTCTAGTGATAGGGTAATATAAGCAGCTCACAGAAATCATCTGATGCACTAAGGAACCTGTACTGAAATATGGTAGATTACCAGTTAAACCTGAAGCTCACTATCTAACAGCATAGTGCAGAATTCCCTATGTACACTTAGTGCATTGTATGTATATGTGCAGAGAATATCAGTGAAAAGCAGACTACTTTAGTGCATTTATTTAAATAAAAACAACACGTTTTAATTTTAGCCACATGCCCATTTGTTCAATGCAAAGTACCTAAAATGGCCACAAGTATGTGGATACCCTTCCAAATTATTGAGTTTGGGCGTTTCCAGTGAGCCTACTGGTAGTTTAACAGCATACAAAATCATTTTGTGCTCATTCAACCTTTGACAACTGTTCGGGGAAGGCTTCTTTCTTATCCAGTATGAGTGTACCACTGTGCACAAAGCCAGCTCCATAAAGACATGGTTTGAGACATTTAAAGACATGTAATGACATGTAATTGTGGGCATAGCGTTCTGTTTAGGCTTTTCTTCTTTTTTTTTCATCTCTCTATAGGTTGAACATGATGGACATGTGTCTGTTTTTCAACCTGACTAACTATGTAACTATGAGTTTGGTGCAAATGAACTTTAGTAGCCTGCACAGAGCCCTGACCTAAATGCTACTGAAGACCTCAAAGACCAGAGAAGGCCATTTGCAAGCCAGGTCTTATTGTTTAACATCAGTATCTAACCTTACAAAAACTCTTATTGTATTGCTGAACGGGCACAAATTCCCACATGCAAACTCTTGTGGACAGCTTTCCCAGAATAAAGAAGGCTGCTATAGTCATGAAGATAGGGAACAACTCTATATTAATGCCCACGGTTTTGAAAAGGGATCCCAAACAAGCTAATTACAGGTGTTATGGTCAAGTATTCACTGGTAACTGTGTTATATATTAAGTAACTATGCAGTAAGCATTTTATACAATACTCATGAGGAATTTTCCTTCCTGCACCAGCTTTCTTGTGAAGGGACCAGATCCTTCAGAGCAGCAGTGGTATGCAATTTGATGGACAGCTACAGAAACTCAGGAGCTTTAGGACTTCCTACCTGAAGAACTAATGCACTTGCAGTCAGGAAGTCCCAGAGCTGGAATAAATATATCTCTGGTGAATCTCGTATTCGTATAGCAACGCATAACGTTCAAGGCCTGAATGCGCCCGTGAAAAGGCGAGTGGCTTTCAACCACTACCATTCCCAAAAAATAGATGTGCTCTCCTTCATTTTTTTTTTTTTTTTTTTGTTGTCGTTTTTTTTTCTTGATATTGTTTTTATTATGTCTTTAGGTGTTGTAAGGCACTATAATAGGGATAACCTAGTAATCTGGTCTCGACTGTTCTTACACAAGCTTTTGGTAAGAATAGTCGACAAGTCCCTGGGTTTTTGACCATCGGTCGAGCGACTGCTAAACCCCAAGATGACAAGATGGGACGTAGGTATATCTTTAGGGGGTAAAATAGGAACAGTTCCGCTAAGGCCGAAGTTTGGAGCGGGAAGCTGGGCAGGGGGCCAGCTTGAGCCGAAATAAAAAACGGTAGGCTTGTGTCGACAATTGAGACCAGATACTAGAGATGGAATAATAAGGAATCCTGAAGACTGTCTTTTTGTTTTATGTTGTTCTGTTACATTGTAGTATGTAGATGGTCATTGTATATGCCTCAATGAAAAATAATAAAAACTTTTGAATATAAAAATATATCTCTATCCTCTTGCTAGAAAGCCAACTGTAGCCTGGACACTTACAACAGCTCTTTGGGTGGTTACAAGCAATGGGGGCACACAATGAAAAGTGGTGGAAGAGATACAAGCCTCAGAACATGTGATTGTTCTTTGAGTTAGAAAAAGAACTCAGAGTGGCTAAATGTGAAGATTAGTGCTAAAAAAGAGAATTAAATTAGTGCTAAAGATGAAGAAAAAGGGGCAAAGTGGAAGAAAAAGCACAGAGCACAAGAGAGAAAATAGTGAGGGCAAAGCCTGGGCCTGATTTGCTAAAGTGCACAGTGAAGTGAACCTGTATTCTTTTCAAACATCCAGACATGTCAAGAAGCCCAACAATTTTAGGTTCCCCTTCCACCTGATTGGATGTTTGAAATGAAATAGGGATAATCTACCTCGCTTCACACTTTAATAAGTCATGCCCATGTTCACGTCACTCTACCTCACTTCACACTTTAGTAAATCAAACCCCTATTCTACAGCTACTGTAAATTGCTCAGGCCTATAGCAATTTTACAGTGGGCATAACAAAGTTAGCGTTCCATTGATCATTTGCATTGCTGCACTTCTAGTTAATGAGAGTTTTGGAACTGAAGCTATTGATACTCAGATAATTCCACAGATTGAGATAAAGAAGATACAAGAAAGTGTTACTGTTATCTTCTATACAAAGCTTGGCAGGAGACTTCTTTTGTAAATCATTCATAAGGACTGGTAAAGAAGTGTTCTACTTAAGCTTGATAATAAGCTGTGGAGATTGTTTATGAAGCAGCGGAGGTCTTTGGTGCTTGTTACTACTACTTTTTAGAGTTATATTAGGTCTAGTGTTGAATTTGGAGGTTAGATTGCAGTTTAGAGATCAGGTTAAGGGAGAGCGGTTACATGATATGTTTAAGGTCTGGGTTAAGGGTAAAGTTTGTAAGTTAAGTTGGGTTTTAGGGGTTAGGTAAAGCTTTGGAGATTGGTTTAGGAGTTGGATTCAGTTAAAATGTATGTAAAGCTAAACATTTTTCAAGTTATGGATAAAATGTGGAAGCGATTGAACCTCTGATTTGCATGTTCAATGGCTTCAATATTTTCTGAGTCACGGATCAGGAGCCAGTATGCAAACAGTGAAGTGAGAACTACTAGGTTAGTGACCCAAAAAGTACTGAAACCAATGTTTCTGCAAGACTGCCAGGTAACTAGCATTTTTAGAAGGCAATGTTAGCTCTACCTGTCTACCTTCCTCAGAAAGGTTGGCCTTGAAAGCAGAAGATTAAAGTGACACTAAACTCAGGAGCTAAATCTTAAAAATGCATTCAATCTTATTTGTGTAAATCATCTCTGAAGCAACAAACAGGAGAAGAGGAGATTGCAGGAAAATGTTCTCATAGCTGCATGTTATTAGAGAAAAATCTAAATAATGACATATAAATATGTCATAATATCTCTTTATATTGTAACTTACCTTAACTGAGGCATGATGATAAGATCCAACCTGCACTGGCTTCAATGTTCTCTACACACTCCTCACAGCAGGATATCTCATTGAACTATCTGTGACGGGCCAGCTGTTTATATAACATTCTGTTTTTGGTGACTCTTCCTGATTATTCTTTAACCTAAACTGTTTTCCTACACTTGAACAGTCATTTCAAATTCTCCATATTTTCTGTACACTTGACCCGTATTTATTCCTTTGCTGAGATGATATGAGAACATAATGCAACATCTAACACAATCTAGGAAACACTAAAACAACAAACTGTGTACCAAATGTGAACAAAATGCAGTTATGACTGCCGCTGTACAGAAAATGGTTTATTGGATCCTAACTGGAATATAATATAAACCAGCACAACAATGCATCTAAATTAATTTTCACATAGCCCAGGCTCTTCCTAAAAGTCTCTTTATTGATTGCGTAGAGCACTTTTTCCTCCCTGTTTACTGGACGATGAATATAAATTATGAGCCACAAATGCGGGTTATATCACAAAATTGTCTTGTCCTTACAGAACCTCTGGGCTGTATGAGGTGCTTTATTTGAGGAGGTTGATAAAGGCAGATACACACTTAAATATCTACACAGACAAGGTGTATTAGTGTGGGATATCAGCAGCTTAGAAACTCAGGGCTCGTTCACACCACCAGCGTTGCCCATAGCAGTTCCAATGCAAAATAGCCTTATTTTTTATGGGGTCAGTTTACTCCAATGAGCTGTGTTGGAGTGCACCAGAAATAAAAATAGGATGCTCACATTTTTACACAGTGTGTTGCTTCATTGCATAGTAAAAGTAACAAAATCATAAAAGAAAAAAAAACCCACAACACGTTTTAAAAACAAATTGTAGCACTACACACTGTAAAATTGCATGCTAGCTCATGTGTGTTATGTGCATACTAACACATGCACTGTGGTGTGAATGAGCTCTCAGAGACTTCAGCTGCCAGATGTCCATGCCATTGGCATTACAAAACTGACCAAGTGTGTTACTTTTTTTTACCTCCCAACATAAATTAAAGATAACCTGTATTAAGAGGGTCACATAGGCTGCCACTGGTGGCTTCCATCTGAAAATGCTATTTGGCAGGCTGTCCCTGGTTTTAATGATTTAAGTCACTGACCCAGAAGAGGCAAACAGCAACTGAAGTCAGAATTCCCACCCTACATACCTGTTTCAGCTTAGTAGTACTGAAGCCTGTGGATTACCACAATGGAAGGGCAAATAGAATTTTTAGTAGGAAAGATCAGTAGCAACAATCTTCAGACTATTCTTACTACAAGTTTACTAATAGCGGGGGACTCCCGGAGCGTCCGGGAGAGTTGGGCTGTCTGGAGATCAGTGTCCCTGGTTACCTCGTAACCAGGGACGCTGATCTGTCTGTGAAAGTGGCCGGAG